TAATTAATTAAACAAAGAATTATTATATAGATAAAAATTTGGGGAAAAAAATTTTCAATTGAATTTACATTCAATTAATTATTCAATTACTAATTGACTTTGGAAGAGTTCGAGTTTTTTTTTGGAATTTGGCGAAGAATTTTAAATACAATTTTTAGAAATAATTGAATTATAGAGAAGTTTAGAGAATTTTAAATTGAAAAATGTTTTAAAAAAATTAAATTTTCGATTTGTGAAATTTTTCTAAAGATTTTTAAATCAAAAGTAATTGTAATTTGAAATTTTTAATTTTATAATTATATTTTTTAAAATAATTGAATTTTTCAAAATATTGAATTAAAATAATTGAAATTTAATTTCAATTCTTAAAAAGTAATTGAAATTTCTTAAAATTTCATTGAAAGTTTTAAAAATAATTTAATTTTTTTAATTTGATTGAATTTTCATTTATTGCAATTCTTTTAAAAATAGAATTCATATTTGATAAAAAAAAAAAAAATAATAATAAAATTCGAAAATATCAGAGAAAAAAAATATTGTCTCTGGAAGTCAGGAAAATGTCAGGGAAAATTATAATGAAAATTTTTTAAAAACCCTGAAATTGAAATGAATAAAATATATTTTTTTTATAAATAATTACAAATTAAAAAGAGATTTCGCTATTTACTTACGAAAGTTTCTCATTAAAAGTATGATAAAATTTTTTTTTCTATACTCAATTGTGTTTGTTGCAAATTTTCGCTACACTCTGACGATGATTGATAAAAATCACAATATATAGGGGAGCAACATTTTGCCCACTCCACTTAATAATAATAATAATAATAATAATAATAATAATAATAATAATAATAATAATAATAATAATAAAAAGAAAAAAAGGGAAGAGAAGTCTATTAAAAGATAATTTCGAAGATATTTCATATTTATTTTAAAATTTTATTTATTTTTTCAAATTATTAATTAAATTTTATCTTTTAATTATTTTGCAAATCGTGATTGAATTAAAAACAACAATATAGACATTGAAAAAAGAAAAATATCCAAATTAATGATGATTGATAATTTAATATTCATTATCCCGTGAGTTGTACGTTGCAACAATAACAAGTTCCATGTAATGGTCCATTATACGAATATTTTGGTCCATTTCCACAAAAATAATCACGAGCTTGCCAATCATTTAACCAACAATTAACATCACATCCAAGTTGTATGGGTGACGATATTCCTTTTGCGATGAAAATCATCATGACAAATAAAACAATAAAATAGGCGCCTTTCATTTTTTTTTCTCTAAAAATAGATGGAATTAAAAAGAAATTTATTTAATATTTTAATACGAAAGAATATTTTAATTTAATACATTAATTTTTTCAGTAATAAAATTTTAATTTGAAAATAATAATAATAATACCATAATAATAGAAATAATAATTTACAAGAGAAATTTCTTAAAAAATATTATAATAACAATAATATGTTTGAAATAATAATATAATTTGACTTACAATGAAAATTGTCAATTTTTGTTGAAATGAGAAAAATTGTAACAGAATTGAAAGCGATTATAATTCTTTATTAAAAGAAAAGGAAGGAAAAATACAAATTTATAGAAAGCAATTGTTTACATTTCTCTGATTATTATAAATGAAGGGAAATTTATTTAAAAGTCGACATTGAATTTAATTGAAATAATAATCATATTATTCCTTTAAAAAACTATTTAAAATTAAAACTGCGAGAGTAGAAAAACAAAGCAATCTATCATAATGAATGATAATATTTTTTTTTAACAAGGTTTGTTTAATATTAATGATGAATAACAAACAATACGTCAATTTTCAAAAATTGCGCAGAAATCATTCTGTCTGATTGTTTGGTCAATTGTAATTTCGGACAAAGTGAAAATTCGGCTTCTTGAAAAAAACAAGGTTTGTTTAATATTAATGATGAATAATAAATAAAATTTTAAAAAATCAATACTAATTGGTCAATTTTCAAAAATTGCACCGAAATCATTCTGATTTTTTGTTCGGTCAATTGTAATTTCGGACAAAATGAAAATTCGGCGTCTTGAAAAATTCTATCAATTAAAAATTCGGACAAATTTAAAATTCGGTGAATTAAAATTTCTGTCAATTTAAAAATTTGAATCACATAAAATTCGATTGAATGAGAATTCTGTTAAATTAAAATTCGATTAAATTAAAATTTTGTTAAATAAAAAATTCTTATGTAAAGAAAATGACTCAAATAAAAATTCTGGCAAAAATTCGGCAGCTAAAAATTTTAAGTAAAAATTTGTATTAAAAGGAAATTCTGTCAAATTTAAATTCGAAAATTGAAAATTCGTCTAAAAAATAAATAAATTCTAATAAAATACTTTAAAATTAATATTTTAATTAAATATTTTATATGGAAAATTCTTGAGCCTCAAATAAAATATTTCTTTGTGTAATTTGTATATAAATTATTAGAATTTTATTTAAAAAAAAAGAATTTTTATTTTATAATTATATACAGTATTTAATTATTGATTGATAGAAAACTTTTTTTTTTATATTTGACCACAACAGTAACATCTGCCGTGTATGGGTCCAGGATAAGAATATTTTGGTTTATCACCACAAAATGCATCGCGAGACATCCAATTATTTAGCCAACAATTAATGTCACATACTGCTGACAATCCCCCGACGATAAAAATCGTCATTACCACTAACAAAATTAAAGAGATTCGATCCATGTTTTTTTTTGTAATTAACTTTCAATCCTGAAATGTAATATTTAAAAAAGTAATTAAATTTACAATGTAAAAATATTGATTTAATCTCAAAAATGATGAAAAATAATTTATTACTTTAGAAAGAATTTTTTTTAACACAATTAAATTTATTCAAATTTCAATATGTTCAAATTTTTAAATTTTGCTATTTAATTGACTTTTATTCGATTCAAATTTAAATCTAAATTTTTCTTCATCCCCCTACGAATTAATATTCACAGGAAAAAAAATAAAATAAAAAAAATGAAATAAAAAAATGTAGACATCTAAAAATAATAATTTTAATTTTTTAATTTAAATTTTAGTTATAAATCAATGAAAAAATCATCAATAAAAATAAATGATCTTCAATAACCAAATTAGAGCAATTTCAACTTTGAAATAATGATGAAAAAAAAAATTAATTACCTTTCAGTATTATAAAGTACTGATTGATTATTATTATTTGTTTGTTTGAAGGAACGCGAACAGACTCTGTTATTATTAACAACGAAAAAGACGCAAATATATATAGGGAGTGTTTGTTTACACTATAAGAAAAGAAAAGAAAAAATTTAAGAAAAAGAAATAAAAATCGTGAACTTTTATCAAAATAACAAAGAACACATTTAATGGTTTTTAATGCCATTTTTAGCATAACAAGATAATAATAAAAGAAAACGAGTTCAATGTATAGATTCTAAAAACACAAAAAATTATTTCTGGAGAGTAACTCATTTATTTTCATTTATTCTGATAAAATAAATTATTTATTCTAAATAACATAATTAATTATTTCTCGAAAGTAACTCATTAATTTTTATTCCTATTGAAAAAAATATGTGAGACATATTTATACAATATATAAATAAACAAGAAAAAAGTTATTAAATATATAAATATAGTTATTTATAAATATCTGTTATATATGCTAATCATTAAAAACAACTAATAAATTACTAATAAAATATTATTTTTTAAACTTTTTACGCGAAATTTAATCGAGAAATAAAAATAAAGTAAAATATTGCATAAGTCTCGGATCGACTTAAAGGCTAAAAAAAAAGTCGATTTATATTCCGAAAAAAGTCGAGTTTTTTTATTTTAACAAAATATTTAATTGGTTAATAAATATTTTAATTTAAATAACTAATGTTATAAGATATTAAATTCATTTTACTAATTCTGTAATGAGTACATAATTCTATAATGAATATTATCAAGAAAATTTATTTCGAATATTTCAGAATCGAACTAATTGTAAGACAAATTTTCAAAATTTTATTTAAGTAGAACAAATTTCTAAAAAAAAAATTCTTAAAAATTCATTTTTATAATTTTTTCAAGTCTAATTTAAGCAAATTATTTGAATTTAAAATTTTGTCATAGTTTTTAATTTTGATGGTCAAAAAAAATTCAGGCAATACATAATCAAGTTTTACAGATTTTTAAATAAAAATTTCTTTTTTAAATAATTGAATTTCAAAAGATTTTTGTTAATTTGAATATTGGAATTTTTGTTGATTTTCAATTTAAATTTTAGAAAATAATTGCTTTTGAACAAGTTACAGTTGAAATTTTAGAAAATAATTGAATTTTTGTTGATTTTGAATTAAAATGTAGAAAAATAATTGAACTTTAGTTGATTTTGAATTAAAATTTTGAAAAATAATTGAATTTTAGTTGCTTTTGAATTAAAATTTAGGAAAATAATTGAATTTCAATTGGAATTTTTGTTAATATTGAATTTAAATTTTAGAATATAATTGCTTTTGAACAAGTTACAGTTGAAATTTTAGAAAAAAATTGAATTTTTGTTGATTTTGAATTAGAATGTAGATAAAATAATTGAATTTTCGTTGATTTTGAATTAAAATTTTGAAAAATAATTGAACTTTAGTTGATTTTAAATTAAAATTTTTTAAAATAATTGAATTTTTGTTGATTTTGAATTAAAATTTAGGAAAATAATTGAGTTTTACTTGATTATGAATTGAAATTTTTGAAAATAATTGAATTGCAATTGGAATTTTAAAAAATAATTAAATTTTTTTTAAATTTTAATTTTGGTATATAATTGGATTTCAAAACATTTTAGTAAATTTTAGAAAATAATTAAATACAGAATTGAAAATAATTTATCAAATAATTTTAGATCTCCTGTTTTAAAAATTATTGAATTTTCCTAGATTTACAATTCAGATTTTTGATAAAAATTGAAAACAAAAAAAAATGTTAATAAAAATATTTTTTTATTGAATTTTTGAGTCCTTATTTTTAGAAAGATGTAAACCATATTTCTCTATTAAAAAAACAATACATTTTTTTATACATTTTCATTTTTTAAATCATTATAAAATCTTTATTTCGATTGTACAAATGTTTTTATAATAATAATAATTATTATTATTACTATATTTATTATCATTGTTATTATATTGTTTTTATTATTATTTTTATTATTATTTTTATTATTTTCATTTTTTTTATTATTATAATTATTATTTATGATAATGATAAATTATAATAACAAATAATAATTAGAAATAATAAGTCGTAATAATGCTTATTAAATAAAATAATAATAAATTATAGTAACAAATATTTGTGATAAATAGTAATTTCTAATAATAATAATAATAATCATTTAATTTTATAATAATAAATTGTTAAATAATATGGCACTTATGTCTAAACTTTAAAAACATAGTTCTTTATAACAATCGTAAAATGTTTGTTCGTTTTTTGAACAAAGTGACAAATTTAAAAATTAATTTCAAATTTATGTGGAAAAATTTACAAAATAATAATTATTTTTAATGCGTCGATTTTTTTTTTTTTTTTTGCTTTAAAACGGAATTGTCGAGAAATATTTATTAATTCTCCAAACTTCAGCATTTAATTCCTCATCATCTGACTGTCTATTTTCATAATTATCAATTTCTTGTTCTACATCTTTATAAGGATTAATTAATATAAATGGATAATAATCAATATCATAATAAGTTTCCTTTGGTCCAAAACCAGGATAATAATATCTAACAACTGGTTTAAATATTTGTTTCGGCGTTGATATATGTATAAATTTTTCCACATTATAACCAATTTTATTTTCAATTAAATTTCCAAAATCAACATCAGAATCACGCCATCCCAAAAAATAATATTCATATTCATTGTCTTCAAATTCATCGTAAACAATTTTTGGACAATCATCATCTGAATAAACTTCTTTATAATTAATTTTTATATCGTCACATAATTTTTTTACTATTTTCCATTCTCCTATTGAAATTAAAACATTTTTTTCAGTAATATTTTTTAATATTTCTCTTAAATTTTCATTATCAATCATTGTTAAATCCTCTAATCCAATATCGATAAAATTTTCAAAAATTTTATACACAATCAAAATGCGTAATCCTTTAGTAATTTTGGAAATTTTATATTCTTGCTTCATTCCAAATAGAACGAAATTTAATAATTTTTTATCTGATTTTCGTGGTGTAAATTTTTTTTTCACTTGAGGAAAATAAATATTTCCACCTTGACATTCAGTTGGACAAATGATAATTAATAAATTTGTTTGATTATATTCAGAAATATTTTTACAAGGTAAACGAAAATCATTTTCACGATAAATAACAAATTTTTCAGGAATTGCTTGATATTTATTACCAAGTTGTTCAGTTGTTATTGATTGTCCAAGAAAATTTAATAAATGACTATTTTCATTTTCTAATTGTTTTTCGAGTGGTTGGAAAATTTTTGAATTAGTAATAATTTTCATTTCATCATTGTTGGCAATTGTTGTTGAAATATTAGATGATTGGATAAAATTTAATTTTGATGATAAATCAGAATTGATGTTGTGAAGATCAATTTCTTGATTGTCAATCATAATAATTGTTTTGCTGTTAAAATTTATGATTCCTGTTTTTATTTCTTCGTTTTCGAGTATTTTTAGTTCATCAATTAAATCCTCGGTGGAATATTTTACTCGTTTTTGATTTGGTGACACTTGATCGTTTGCTGGAAAAATTTTTTTTAAAAAATAATTTTAGGCGCAAGATTTTAATAAATTTTTATATTTAGAAAAATTTCTATTCAAATGAATTTAAAAAAAAAAAATTTTTTTTTTATTTATTTCATTAATTTTATTTTTTTATTCAATTTAACTAATTATTAATTACTGAAATAAATCTTAACCTCAAAAAATTTGGAAAGAGAAAATGAAAAAAAAAGAAATTTAAAGTACAAAAAAAATTAAAAATTAGAAATGAAAAATAGTATTAAAATTGAAATATTATTTGCTTACTTTTTCTTTTTCCTGTGGACATGATTATTTGTTGATTAATATAATATAAAATTTAAAAATTCATTTGGAAATTTGGAAAAACGTGTGTAAATAATTTTGTGTCTGTTTTTCCATCATATATAATGAAAAACATATATAGATTTGGATTTGACATATAGAATTTGTATTTATTTGTGGTGCCATCTAATTAATTTTTCCTAATTATTTATACATCAGGCCTTGGATTGTACGAATTTTTCGATTTTTTTTTCATATTATTTTAATCAAATAAAAATTAAAATTCTTTAAAATAAAAATTTTAATTAATTGATTTTTGCAGAATTTTTCATCAAAAAACAATTTTCTATATTACAGAATTTTTATATAATATCTAAAAACTTTTGATTTTTCCAGCCGATTGCAGAAAATAAGTATTCTTGGGTGAATTTCTGAGCTATTGAAAATTAAACCCAAAGAATTTTTTTTTTCAAACACAAATCTACTAGAATGTGATCGAAAATTTAATTCGTTATTTAATAATGATAAATTTTTTAATTTTAACCTAAAATGTCACATTTCATTCTGCAAAATAAATAAGGAAGCATGATTATGTTCTAAGAATAATAATAATTAGTTAGATTTTTCATTTTATGAAATTTCATTTGTCATAATTATATTTCAGTCGAATTGTTTATTTGTTCGAATTAGTATTTTATAGAATTTTCATCAAAACGATTTTCTATATTACTGAATTTTTATATTAATCGAAAATTCACTTTATAGAATTTTTATTTCTTCGAATTTTTATTTATCAGAATATTTATTTGCTCGAATTTTCATTTTATGTAATAGGACATTTTAAAGAATTTTTATTTGGTAGAATTTCATTGCATAGAATTTTTATTTTATTCTTTCAGATGAATTTTCATTTGTTCGAATTATTATTTGATTGAATTTCGATAAAATCAATTTTTCTGAAGAATTTTTACTTAACTGAAAAATTATTTAACAGAATTTCTAATTTGATAGAATTTTCATTTATCCGAAATTGCAAATGACCGAACAAACAATCGATTTTGGCGCGATTTTAAAAAATCAACTAATCAAAAATTATCCATAAAATTGTGATTAGTTGATTTTAAAAATCGCGCCAAAATCGATTGTTTGTTCGGTCATTTGCAATTTCGGACAAATGAAAATTCATCTGAAAAAATAAAATGAAAATTCTATGCAATTAAATTCTACCGATTATAAAAATTCTTTAAAAATTGCCCTATTATGTTAAATAAAAATTCGAAGAAATAAAAATTCTGTGAAGTGAATTTTCGGTTATATAAAAATTTGTGTAATATAGAAAATCGTTTTGATGAAAATTCTACAAAAATTCTAATTCGAACAAATAAAAATGCGGCTGAAAAATAATTATGGCAAATTAAATTCAATAAAATGAAAATTCTATAATAATAATTAATAAAAATTAATAATAATAATTACTTATAATAATTACTATTAATTAATTAGCTAATCAATTTAAAAAAAACAGTTTTTTTATTGTCATTCTTTCTAATGAAAAACAAAATTTGATAAAACTTTTTTTGGCAAAAAAAAATGAAATACAATTTCATAGCTAAATTTTTCTCTGCTGTTGTCGTTATCGTTGTCTTCTTATTGATAATTCTCTAAATCTTCCACTGGATCCTCTTCCGATGGATCTGATTCTGATGGATCAGGCGATGAAGAATCAGATTCGGAAATTTTATTTTCACATGGATTTATCAATATAAATGAATAATAATCAACTTCATAGTTTGATTCTTCTGGACCTGTACCATATTTTCTATATCTCACAACAATATCATTAATTACTTCTGGTTTTGAAAAATTAATATACAAACCCACGGTAAATCGTTTTGAATTTTTAATTAAACTATAAAAATCAACATCACATTCCTCCCAACCTTTATAGTAAAATTCCATTTCATTTCTATCTAATTCACTGTAAACAATTTTTGGACATTCCTTAGCTGAATAAACTTGTTGATATTTCACTTTGATATTATCGCAAATTTTTTTAATATTATTCCCTTTTGTTATTGGTATTAAAACATTTGTTTCTGTTATATTTTTTAATATATTTTTCAATCTTCTTGTATCGCTCACAGTCAAATTAATTAATTCAATGTTAAATGGACTTTCAAAAATTTTATACACCAATAAACAACGTAAATTTTTGATAATTTTTTTAATTTCATACTGTGTATTAATTCCAAAAAGAATGTAACACAATGTTTCATTGGTTGTTGATTCAGGGGTGAATTTTTTTTTCATTAATGGAAAATTAATTTCACCTCCATTGCAATTGGTTGGACAGAGAATTATTAATAGTTTACTGAGATTTTCCTCTTGATTATTAATATTATTGTCGCAGGGTAATTGAAAATCATTTTCTTGATAAATTAAGAATTTATCAGGTATTGCTTGATATTTGTTATTCAATTGTTTTGTTATTATTGAATGACCGAGAAAATTTAAAAAATGACTTTTGACATTTTTTAGAGATATTGAAATTATTTTTGAATTTGTAATTGTGGATTTTATTTCGTGAAAATTATTTTCTTTGTTGATGTAAATTTCGTTGGATGAGGATTCATTAAATTTTTTTATTGTTTCAATGTTGATATTGTAGAGATCAATTTCTTGATTTTCAATTGTGATAATGGCTTTTTTGCAATTAATTATTCCTGTTTTAATTTCTTTGTCTTCTATTAATTTTAATTCTTTTTTAAAATTTTTTATTTGATCCTGATTGAGTGGCCCGTTATTGTTTGCTGAAAATTTTTATATAAAAATTAATTTATTTATTTATTTTACTAAAAATTAATATTTTTGGAGCCAGGAGAAATTAAAACAAAAATTAATTCATTTATTTTATTTATTTTATCAAAAATTAATATTTTTTGATCAAGGGGGAATGAAAATACACTTTTTTAAAAAAAAAAAAAAAAATTATATAAATAAAATAACGTTGGAAAAAAGAATTTTTGAATTTTTGAAACGAATACTAACATTAAAGAAAAATAATATTTAAATTCAAAACGTAAATATTATTTGCTTACCTCTCCATTTGTCCTCAGACATGACTTTTATTTTTATCAATAAAGTAGATTTCAAAAATTATTTCAGAAAAATATAGAATTTTTTATGTTTTCCAAAAAAAATGATTAAAAAAAAATGTATTGAATTATCAGGTGTGCTATTTGATTCTTTTTCCGGAAATATTAATTTATTATTTTAAAGAAAAAGAAAATTTCAATTCCTTTTGGGTATTTTTACAAAACTGAGGAAATATTATCGAAAGTATAGTTTCTCGTTGATTTTGTTGGTAGACTATTTAATTTACGTTCGTGTATGTAGGGAAGCCAGTAATCATGGGCAGGTTAAAAAAAATAAAATTTCAACATTTATTAAAAAATATTAATTCATTAAACAATAAAATTCAATTATTTAAATTAAATTCGAATAATTTAAATAATAATAGTTAAATATTATAAATAAATTTAAATTTGAAATTTAAAATTTATTTGTAAATTTAAATATATAATATTATTATAATAATTATTTGTAAATTTGATTTGATTAAAAAATTAATTTATTAAATTAATAATAAAATATTTACGACTTTATTTTTTTAAGTACAAACGGTAGCTCTTTCAAAATTCAATTATTTTGAAAATTTAAATCTAAAAAGTTTTTGGGAAATTAATTTTATTTTTAAAAATTTTAATAAAATTTTTTTGAAAAAAAAATTTAGGTAATTTTTTCAAAAATTTCAATTCAAAATCTCTGGAAATTCAATTATTTCTAAAAAAAATCTTAAATATTTTCTTTCAAAGAAGATTCAATTATTTTTAAAATGATCGAAAATTCTTTTGACAAATCAATAATTTTTAATATTTTTAATCAATTTCTTTCAATTGAAATAATTTTTATTTTCGAAAATTCAATTATTTTGAAAATTTAAATCTAAATTTTTTTTTGAAAAATTAAGTATTTTCATTAATTTTCATGATTTTATTCTAAAAATTCAATTATTTAAAATATATTTCAATTCAAAATTCTTTAAAATTTAATTATTGCATAAATTCTTTTTTTTAAAAAGTCTTTCATTCGAATTTACGAAATTATTATTATTATTATTATTATTATTATTATTATTTTCAATAATTTTAATAAAGTTCTTTTGAAATATCAATTACTTAAAATATTTTTCAATTCAAAAATCTCTAAAATTCAATTATCTGACTAAAATTCTTTTAAAAATGTTTTCAAAATTCGAATTTACAAAATTTTCAATACAAAATCTAGTGGGAATTTAATAAATTCTTTGCCAAATTAATTATTTTCAAGAATTTTTTAATGAAGTTTAAAAATATTTGTTATTATTATTATTATTATTAGTATTAAAAAATTTTTAATATTCAATAATTGTTGTCTGTAATTTTTAAATAATATTTTCAGCAATTGAATTTTACAATAATATCAATTTAAAACTTTTGAAATTCAATTATTTTGAAAATTTGAATTTGAAATTTTTTTTGTTGCAAAATTAATTATTTTTAATAATTTTAATGAAATTCTTTTTAAAAAAAAGTCGTTAATTCGAATTTATGAAATTTTCAATTAAAATTCAATTATTCTAAAAATTTTAAATTAAAAAGTCTTTTTGAAACTAATTATTATCAATTATTTTCATGAGATTCTTTCAAATATTCAATTATTTAAAATAATTTTCAATTCAAATTTCTCCAAAATTCAATTAGTATTGATTCAATTTTTTTTTTAAATTTTCAATCCTAATTTACTAAATTTTCAATATAAAAATTCAATTATTTGTAAAATTTGAAGCTAAAAATTATTTGTAAAATTTAATTATTATTTTTAATAATTTTCATTAAATTCTTTTTAAAATTCATTTCTTTAAAACATTATTTAATTCAAAATTCTCTAAAATTCAATAATTATTGATTAAAATTATTTAAAAAAGTTTTCAATTCTAATTTACAAAATTTTCAATTCAATTTTTTTTTTTAAATATTCAATTGTCTGTAATTTATATAAAAAAAAAAAATTCATCAATTTAATTCTCTAGAAATTAAAATAAATAAACCATTAATAATAATAATAATGAAAAAAATACGTAAATAAATAAAAAATAATATAATATAATAAATAAAATTATAATATAAATAAACGAATAGATTGAAATAATTGAATTAAAAAAAACAACTATTACAATTGGTAAAAAGGAGAAATAAAAAATCTCCAAAATATGGTTATTTTTATTTATTGAACTTTTGGTAAAATAAAAATTATTTTATTTAAAAATTCAGAAAAAATTCAGGCGCCCTTTTTTCTTTCAAAAAAAAAAAAATAAAAATAAAAAGTAAAAAATAGTCGACAATTTCAGTGTGTAAAACAACAAGTTGCAAAAAAAAATAATTCTTCACAAACAGTTGTTTCTGCGCTTAAAAAAAAAAAAAAAAAAAAATTTAAATTATTGTCGGGCGGAATTTTTTGTTTTTATATTTATTTATTTATTTTATTTATTTTTTTTATTTGTATACACAAAGGCGGTTCTGTTGTTGTAATTCAAAAAGCAGAGATGACAATATTAAATAGGACGACGAATCTAATAGGACTAACGTAAAATCTAGCAAAGAACGTATACACGAGTTTTGGCATTCTCTACTTTTTGAATTTTTTTTTTCAACACCCCCTCCCTCTCCCAAACTCAATTTAATCACACAATGAGACGATTATTTGACTTTTTTTTTCCTGCTGTTTCACTTTAAAATTTGAAAAAAAACACGATCAGTGAAAATTGTGTGGAAAAAAATAGAAATTTAATCGTCTCAGAAGATTTTTTTTTTTCACTTACAATTAGTTTTACAGGCTTTCTTTTTTTATAAGAAAAAGAAATGTCAAAATATATAATGTATCGTGGCTTTTCTCAGGAAGACGGGGATACAATACTTTGTCTTCGTGTCTAATTTTCAAGACATAAATATTTTTTTTTTATATGTTTAAATGTTGACAGTATTTATTTTCGAGTCTCAGTGCGTTTTAGTTTTTTTTTTTTGGGGGGGGGGGGGGGGAAATTGAAAAAAAATATTTATATTTTCTTTAATTCAAAATTTAATTTTTCTTTTGTTATTTTTAATTTTCTGTTTTTATTTTTAATTTATTTTTTTTATTTTCAATTTTATTTTCAATTTTCTTTTTTTATTTTTAGTTTTCTCTTTTTTTTTTAATTTCCTTTTTTTCTCATTTTTTAAAATTTCAATTTCCCAAGAATTTGTAAAATCAAAAATTCACAAAAAATATTTGGGAATTAATATTAAATTAAAAACGTACAATTGTAATAAAAAAAAATGATAAATCAAAAATAAAAAAAGAAAATTAAAAATTGAAAAAAGAAAATTAAAAAAAGAAAAAATTAAAAATAGAAAATTAAGAAAAGAAAATTAAATATATAAAAATAAAATAGAAAAAAAGGGTAATTAAAAATACACAGAAAAAAAATGATTTACCTGAAACAGCGAAAGTTTTCACTAGAATAGCGAAATATTTAACTGAAACAATTAAAACTTTTGCTACTGTAGAGAAACGTTTCCCTGTTCCAGGTAAATCTTTTTTTTTCGTGTATAAAAAATAAAAATGGAAATTAAAAATAAAAAAAGAAAATTAAAATGAAAAAATAAAAACAAAGAATTTAAAAACTAAAATTTCGAGGAAAATTTAAAAAAAAAAAAAAAAAAACGCACTAAGACCGAAATAGTAGGTTCCGTTTTTTAAATTCGAATTGTTTTTCTTTCCATTTTTTTTTTTTTTTTTTTTTTTTTGTTTACTGACGTCTTATTGCAAAGGCATAGGAATTGTCATCGCTTAAATATAATTAAGGGAGTACAATATATAAAGAAGTGTATAAATGTATACATATATTTATAAATCTATATATTTATATATAATTGGATGCCGCAGCTTGCCGGAGAAGCGAATTCATGTCCGGTCCTCCTCGCGAGCCGCTTATTTGAGCTTTGAGTTTGCGCTTACGTTCCGAAGGTTTTTTTTTTTTTTTTTTTTTAATTTTTTTTTTTTTTTTCTCTCTTCTCTCATCTCCTCACTGTTTTTTTTTTTTTTTTTATTTATTTATTTATTTATTTTTTTTTTGAGTCAACACCGATCGATACATAAATATATATAAATACACCGGAGTCTGGATCTATAAAGGTGGCACGTGTGGTCAAATATCTAGTGTCATTTTCCACAAGAAAATTCTAATGCGCGTAAATAGTCTTATACACTAACTCTTATAAATATATATATATATATACGAGTAAAAAAAAAAAGTTCTATCAGAGCTGGTACAATATCGCACTTTAAAAAAAATTTTTTTTTTCATACAGCAATAATTGCCACTGTTAGCAATTACACTAGTATAGTAATTATTACCATACTTTCCCCTCCCCCCAATTTTCTTCACAATTTTCAGAAAAAAAAAAATAAAAAAAATTTTCTGAGACTTTCGTTGCTCAGCTCAAAAACAGTTTTGAAATTTGAAAATTGTAATAGAAAATTAAAAAAAGTAAATTCCAGCTCTGAAATTTCTCTTTATTATTAGCTTTTATATTTTGAATATAAAAAATTAATAAAAAAGAGATTTTCATTTTTTTTTTTTGTCATAAGTTGTTGAGCGAGGATTTGTGCCCTCGTTGTAGTGTCAATAAGAAGACTTTCTTTTTTTTTTTTTCCTAGAAAACCATAAATTGTAACAATTAAAAAAATGGGGTTTAAATCGTACCAAAAATGATAAATGTTACAAATTATGGTGCAGTGCGTTACATTTCATTATTTACCTAACCTAACTCTTCGAATTTTTTTTTTTTTTTATTTAAAAATTTAAAAATTTCGATGAAATTTGTGCCGAGGACGTTGTTTTTACTTTTTTTTTTGACACTTGATATGGCAGAATTGCTGCTGTCACATTTTTTTTTTTAATGCTATTTTGGCAACAACAAAGGCACAGTCATAAGTCTCGTGTGTTTCGCTATTTTCACTTTCATCCTCGCTTTTATTTTTTTTTTTCAATATAATTGTTTCGTCGAGATCGATTGCTCCCTATTAACAGCACGAAAAAAAAATTGACATTATTACTGTCCTTGAGACGTATTTTTTTTTTTTTTAATTATTTCTTCCATTTTGGCACTTGGAACGCGCCTTACTCTCATATTCATTTTTTCATTTATATATATATGTGTGTATATATAACATATAATATATAATATATAAATGTTTTGGCCACTCAGTTCATTTTCGCAGATCACATTTTTTTTTTTTTTTTTTTTTAATAAATGTCTATAAAAAAAATGTTTCCGCGAAATTAAAGTAGTCTAGAATTAAATTTGTTTGTTTGTTTGTTTTTTTTTGTTTGTTTTTGTTCACTTTTATACAACACTTGGTTTCGTCACGTTGAAATTTAATTAGCGAGTTCACACAATCAACAATCGATGGCTCATCTTCGTTTTCGAGCTGTTGCAGCTGCAATCATTTGCCTTAACATTGGTTCGGGTGTGCAAACCTTTGGTTCACATTTCATTTTACCATCACCTCCGCATCTGCAAAAAAAGAGAATATTTTTTTTATTTTTATTTTGAAACTTAAAAAAAAATTGTTATATTTTTTGAAAATTTTGACCACCATTTTGAAATTTTTAAAAACTGATATCAGATTCGTAATCAGCGACCCTAAACCCCCCCCCCCGAGTAGTAAATTTCAAGCCAAATAGTTCAATTTTGTAAAAAAAATTGTCCGCCATTTTGCATTTTGAAAAACTGACATCGGATTCGTAATCAGCGACCTCGAGAACCCCCCGAGTAACAAGTTTCAAGCAAATTTGAGAAATTAAAAAAAACGTGTCCGCCATATTGGAACCGCCATTTTGTATTTTAAACATCTGACATCAGATTTGTAATGAGCGACCCCGAAAACCCCCGAGTAACAAGTTTCAAACGAATTTAATCATTTTTACAAATTTTTTTCCGCCATATTGCATCCGACATTTTGAATTTTAAAAATCTGACGTCAAATTCGTAATCAGCGACCCTAAAAACCCCCGAGTAGCGAATTTCAATCGAATCCGATGAATTTTTAAAAAATTTGTCTACCATATTGGATCCGCCATTTTGAAATTTGAAAAACCCTCATCAGATTCGTAATTAGCGACAACAAAAACCCCCTAGTAACGAGTTTCAAGTAAATCCAATGAGTTTAGTCTCAAATTAAAGCTTGAATCGTGCACTGTAAGACACATATGCGCAAGACCAAAAAAAAACAGAATTTTTTGAGAAAAGTGGGGGTAGAGAATCCAAAAAAAAATTTTTTTTTTTATTTTTGACATTGTAGTCGTTTCCAATGTATTTTTGTCCGCTAAACACAATCCCGGTTTCTAAAATTACGTATCACCTTAGGATTTTGAGTAAAGTGGGGGGTACTTTTTGCCAAACTCAAAAATTCCGGGTAATAAAACAAAAAATTTTTTATACGTCTAAGTTTACATTTTTCAAAAAAAAAACAACAAATTTAATGCTGAATTGTACTTGACTTCTTCTCTTTTGTGCATAAATTCCTATTTTGAAAAATATAAAATTCCGGGCAAAAAAAATCAAAAAACTTTTTTTATTCACTATAGACCACAAGTTGAGCTTAATATTCAGCACAATTTTTTTTTATTTTTAATTTTTGTCATCTAAAAAAAGTTTTTTAATTTTTTTGCCCGGAATTTTTGAGTTTTTCAAAAAATGAATTATTGCACTAAAGATCACAAGTCAAGCACAATTTAGTACAAAATTTGTTTTTTTTAATTCTCATTTTTATTGTTTAAAAAAAGTTTTTTGAATTTTTTGCCCTGAATTTTTGAGTTTTTCAAAAAATGAATTCATACACAAGTCAAGCACAATTTAGTACAAAATTTGTTTTTTTTTTAATTCTAATTTTTATTGTTTAAAAAAAATTTTTTGAATTTTTTTCCCGGAATTTTTGAGTTTTTTAAAAAATGAATTTATACACAAAAAAGAACAAGTCAAGCACAACTTAGGAGAAAATATGTTTTTTTTGAAAAATGTAAACTTAGACGTAAAAAACACATTAAAAAGTGCTCTAAAAAGTACAAGTCGAGAACAAATAAGGACAAAATTTTTTTTGAAAAATATAATTCTAGACGTATGAAAAAAGTTTTTTTATTTTTTTGCCCGGAATTTTGAGTTGTTCAAAAAACGAAATACAGTACAAATGAGCACAATTTGGCACAAAAATCTTTTTTTAAAAATTTTAACTTTATTGGTCTAAATTCCTGGACATGGGTATAAAAGCCCCCAAAAAAAACGTTTATGGTTTATGGGTCTTAAAGTTTACGATTTGAGATTTAATTTAAACCTATATACTAAAATTTAGACGTTTGTGCGGATTATGAATCTAAAAATAAATTTTCTATTTAGCGATTCCTAAAACTTTGAAATAAATTTTAAGAAAAATAAATTGAAAACTGTATTTTTGATTCAAAAAATCGTTTTAGAAAAAAATTGGACAAAATATCAAATATCGCATCAAATATATCTGATATTTCATTTAGGCAGTAGAAATTTTTATTTTTTCATGGAAAAAAAAAATTTACTTAAAACAGCGAAAAGTTTCACTAGAATAACGAAATATTTAACTGAGACAGGTAAAACTTTTGCTACTATAGTGAAATGTTTCGCTGTTCCAGATAAATCTTTTTTTCCGTGTTTAAAATTCAAAATATCTGAAATTTAAAATAGAAAAAACCCTAAAAAAGTGTTTTTGCTTCTTTTTAATCAATTATAAAAAAAAACTTGACAAAAATACATACGTGCATTGAAGGCACGGTCCAGAGGATGATTTGATGATTTCCCCAACTCGATAGGCTTGACCTCTTATTTGACAGCCACTCCGCCTAGTCGCACCCTTATACGAATGTGAAAGGAAATGTGGTGGTAGCGTCGTCGTTGTTGTTGTTGTAGTTGTCGTTAAATTAAGTGTCATTGCCATTGACACAGGACACTCGTACCTTGGACAACAGAAGCCAGAAATAGGCTCCTCATGACATCCTGGAATTGGTGGTGGACAACTTTGTTGTAGACAAATAATATCGCTTCTAAAGCAGAAACAAAAATCACATGGATCGTCTCTTGGTATTTGTTGAGCAGACATGTAAACCTTGCCACCATAACGACAAGTACCAGGACCATAAACTTCCTTATCGTCTTCAGTCTCATAGTCATCGGGTATCATGTGAGTACCACCGTCAATTGGGAAATTTGGATTGTAATCATCCGTCATTGTTTGATCTGGATATTGACCACTTTCCGATGATGTTGATGTACTCGATTGTTCAAAGTAGCCAGGACCAACGGTTTCTTGATCGGGACTTATTGTTAGTTGACCTTCACCTTGTGATGGTATTTCGGAGCTTGGAATATGCTCCAATTCACCTTCGTCGGTAGTTTCAGTTTGAGGTGTTTTAACTGTCACCTGCTCTTGTGGTTCGTGACTACTAGTTTCTGTTTGTGATTCCTCGGTACTGGGTTGACTTTCCTTTTGTTCTGTAACTGTTGGTGTTTCATTCAAGGCACCTTCGGTTGAAATTTCAGTTTTTTCGGTAGATTCAACAGAAGCAGTTGGTTTTGATTCGACAGACTGTTCAGTAGCTTCGGCTCCTTCGGATATTTTTGGACCCACTGAAATAGTGACAGGTTCTTCTGATGATGGTTTTTCGGAAGTCTCCGATTCCGTAGGTTCTTGACTAATTCCAGGCTCCATTGCTTCACTGGCGACTGTTTCTGATTCTGTAGCTGACGTTACTTCAGACGTTTTATCACTGATTGGTTCGGAAGTGGTTTCATGTTCTGCTGGAATTTCCGTTTTTTCGACAATTTCCGGAATTTCAGTCGCTTTTTCCACTTCTGTACTGACCTCAACGGGCGAATCGGTGACTTGTATTTCCTTTTCCGGCGTCATTGCCACTTCGGTACTGCTTTCTTTTGTAATTCCCTCCGGTCCTTTGGTGATTTCACTTTCAGATTCTTTTGTTACACTTTCTTCAGACGAACTTGTTGCCTCATCCACGGAAGATGATTCCGATTCCTCTGTGGAAATTCCTTGTGCCTCAGTTGGAGCAAACGTTTCGGATGTTTCTTCAACTGGAGACGTGGTTCCTTCTTTAATAGTAGGTTCCTCTTTAGCTGGAGTTTCGGAGACTTCTTTCTCGGTTACTTCCTTTTCTGGAATCGAAGTACTTTCTGGAACCTCCTTTTCTGGAATCGAAGTACTTTCCGGAACTTCCTTTTCTGGAATCGAAGTACTTTCTGGAACCTCCTTTTCTGGAATCGAAGTACTTTCCGGAATTTCCTTTTCTGGAATTGCAGTAACTTCAGGAACTTCCTTTTCCGGTGTTTCCGTTACGTCAGGAGTTTTAATTTCCGGTTCCGGTGTTCCTTCAGAAACTTCGGGAATCTCAGTCCTTGGTAATTCGGTCTCAGTCTTTGTTTCCTCAGTTACTGAACTCTCGGGAACGTCGGGAGTAATTTTTTCCGGTTCCGGAGTTTCTTCAGACGTTTTGTCTGTTACTCCAATCTCCGGTGATTCTTTCTCACTTGTGACTGGCTCTTCGGTAATTTCTTCCGGTCCTTTTGTTATGTCACCTTCAGGTTCTGATTTTGTTACAGTAGAGTCATCAGTTATTTCCGGTGAGGTCTCTTTTTCCGTTGCCGAAGTTTCTGGAGTTGAACCTTGTGGGATTTCAGCTTCCGTTGGTTGCGCGGTTTCTTTTTCTTCTGGAATTGTAGCCTCATCTACTGAAGGCGAAGATGAAGGTTCCGAAGAAGATTTCTCTGTGGAAATTCCTTCCATCTCAGTTGGTGCAAACGATTCGGAAGTTTCTTCAACTGGAGCCGTGGATCCTTCCTTAATAGAAGGTTCCTCTTTAGCTGGAGTTTCGGAGACTTCTTTCTCGGTTACTTCCTTTTCTGGAATCGAAGTACTTTCTGGAGTTTCGTTTTCTGGAATCGCAGTACCTTCGGGAGCTTCTGTTTCTGGGATTTCTGTTTTATCCGAAATTTCCTTCGTCGGCATTTCGGTGATTTCCGTTTCTGGCATTTCAGTTCTATCGGAGACTTCCTTATCCATCATTTCTGGAATTTCGCTAATATCTGGTTCCTTTTCTGGCATTTCGGTTGCCTTTTCAACAGGTTCGGTTATTTCCATTGCATCAGTTTTTTCGGTAACTTCTTTCTCCGTCTCAATTTCCTTCTCCGGAGTCTTAGTTCCTTCGGGGATTTCAGTCTTTAAATCAGCTTCCGTAGTTTCTTCTTTTACAGAAACTGCTTCAGTAGTACTTTCAGTACTTTCTTTTGTTGCTTCTTCTGGTCCTTTAGTAACTTCACTTTCTTTTGTTGCTTCTTCTGGTCCTTGAGTAACTTCACTTTCTTTTGTCACTTCCTCTGGTCCTTTAGTAATTTCACTTTCAGAGGGTTCCATTTTCGTAACATCGGAAGTATCATCCGTTACCTCCATTGGAGTTTCGACCTTTTCAGTTGCTGAAGTTTCGGAAACATGAACTTCCGTTGGTTGCATTTCACCTTCAGGGCTTGCAGTCTCATCGGATGATGGTGATTTCTCTGTTGAAATTGTTTGTTCCTCACTTGGAGATGTTGGAGAGCTGGATTCGCTTTCCTTAGTTACAGCTTCTTCTGCTTTTGAAGCTTCAGTTTCCTGAACTTCAGTTTCACTTTCAGAGGTAGTTTTTTCTGTACCCTCAGCTGGTGTCTCCGTTATTTTCAATTCGATTTCAGGTGTTTGACTTCCTTCTGAAGTTTTCTCGGTAGATTCCTCTTTAGGTGTTTCTGATACATCTACCATTGGAGTTGCTTCATCGGAGACACTCACTTCTGTACCCTTTTCCGTTGCAGGACTAGATTCAGTTGAACTTGGCATTTGCATTGGTGTTCCAGATGTTTCTATTCCCTCAGTTTTAGTTTCAGTTTCCTCTGTTGGGGAGCTTTCGGCTCCTTCTGTTGAAATCGAAGGTTCTACCATCTCTGTTACTTTCGTTGATTCTTCAATTTTAGTTGATTCGGTTCCACGGTGTTCTTCTTCCACGGGTGTTTTACTTGTCATTTCTACTTCTGATGTTGTTTCATCAGCCTTTGTAGATTCCTCTGGTTTCGCTGTTGGTTCATATTCCGGTGTTTTTCCCGCCATTTGATTATCAGACTCGAGTGTTGCCGAGGTTTCAGTGTCACAAGTGTACATAGGGCAACAAGATTCTGTGCTGGTGTAAAGTGGTGTACAATTAGCCAAATGAGCCGGAGGCGGCGAACATTCCACCAAATCACAGTGAACAATACTACTGATACATTTGCAGCTCAATTGACAAGGATTCACTGGAGGTATCGCGGAATTATTGTAATAGGATTGTCCATCAACGAGGCAGTTACCTTCACCGGGAATACCCATTGAAGTATAAGTGTCTTCGGTGGGACTAGTTTCTTCACTTGCTGAAGATGGTTCATCAGATGAAGCTGGTGACGAGGTAGCTGAATCCGGTTTCATGTCCGATGGTACGCTTATTTTTGTTACAAATTCTTCATCCGTAACTGGTTCCTTAGAAATTTCTGGTGATTCTGTGGGTTCTTTCTTATCCGATGGTTGAGTTTGATCATCAACTGGTGTTTTAGATTCACTTTCTTCAATAGTAGGTTCTGAACTCTCCGTTGGCAATTTAGATGATTCGGAAATTGGACTCTCGGTTATTCTGACATCAATAGTGGGTATTTCAGGTGGTGTTTTACCTTCTAATTCTGATTCATCGCTGGTGGCACCAATTTCCTTTTCTGTGGTTTCTGTTTCTTTAGCGTCAGTTTCCTGTGTTACTTCAGTCTTTGTTGGTTCTTGACTGCCGGTTGTTTGTTCAGGTTCAGGTTGAAGTGAAGAGGATTTAGTTCCAGTTTCTGTTTGCGTACTTTCTGAGATGGATTCGGTGATTTTGTCTTCATCAGTTGTTTCTTTTTCAGGTTCTGTTGATTCAGTTTGGCCTTCCTTAGTTTCGCTAGGCTCCTTTACAACTGTAGGTTCGAAACTTTCGTCGGTAGTAATTTTCTCCGTTGAAATTTCAGGGGTTTTGGTAATTTCCCCGATTTCTTTAGAAGCACTTGTGTCTTTAGTAATTTCGGTAGGTGCTATAGAATCTTCGGTTGTTTCTTTGGAAACATCTGTTGATTCCACTGGAATTTCATTGGTTTCTTTAGGAATTTCCGTTGGTTCTACGGGAATTTCGGATCCTTTGGGTCCTTCGGAAATTTCATTAGATTCCGTAGAAGAGGATTCTGAAGAAATTGCAGTTGTTTCTTTGTCAGTTTCAGTGGATTCTTTAGAAATTTCCGTGGGTTCTTGGGAAATCTCCGTTGATTCTACAGGTGTTTCACTTTCTTTTGGAATTTCGCCGTCTTTTGGTGTTTCACCTTCTTTTGGAGCTTCACTTATTCCTTCAGTACCCTCAATTGGACCTTCACTGGATACGGTAGATTCTGTATCTTCCTTCGGCGATTCACTGGAGTCCTTAGGCGCTTCGGTTTCTTTTGGAGATTCACTAGAATCCTTAGGAGCTTCAGTTTCTTTTGAAGCTTCACTGGGTTCTTTAGGTACTTCAGTATCCTCTTTCGGAGATTCACTGGTTTCTATCGGCGTTTCAGTTTCCTCTTTTGGTGTTTCGGTTTCTTTAGGCGCTTCACTGGATTCTACAGGCATTTCGGTTTCTTTAGGTGCTTCACTGGATTCTACAGGCATTTCGGTTTCTTTAGGTGCTTCACTGGATTCTACAGGCATTTCGGTTTCTTTAGGTGCTTCACTGGATTCTACAGGCATTTCGGTATCCTTAGGAGCATCACTTGATTCTTTAGGAGCATCACTTGTCTCTTCCTTAGGAGCTTCGCTTGACTCTACAGATGTTTCGGTATCTTCAGGAGTTTTGAATTCCGCTGGTGCTTCAGTTTTTGGAGCCTCACTGGATTCCATAGGCATTTCAGTTTCCTTTGGAGCATCGCTAGATTCTACAGGCGTTTCGCTGGATTCTTTCGGAGTTTCACTGGATTCTACAGGCGTTGCAGTTTCCTCTTTTGGAGCTTCACTAGATTCCTTGGGTGTTTCACTGGATTCTACTGGCATTTCAGTTTCTTTTGGAGCATCACTAGATTCTACAGGTGCTTCGGTTCCTTCTTTAGGGGCATCACTAGATTCCTTAGGTGCTTCACTGGATTCTACCGGTATTTCAGTTTCTTTCGGACTTTCACTAGATTCAACAGGCGTTTCGGTTCCTTCTTTAGGAGTCTCACTGGATTCTACAGGAGTTTCGGTTCCTTCTTTCGGAGCTTCACTAGCGTCCACAGGCGTTTCGGTTCCTTCTTTGGGTGCTTCACTAGATTCGACCGGAATTTCAGTTTCTTTCGGTGCTTCACTGGATTCTACAGGCGTTTCGCTTCCTTCTTTCGGAGTTTCACTAGATTCTACAGGTGTTTCACTGGATTCTACTGGAATTTCAGTTTCTTTTGGGGTTTCGCTAGACTCTACTGGTTCTTCAGTTCCTTCTTTCGGAGCGTCACTGGATTCGGAAGGCATTTCGCTTTCTTTCGGAGATTCAGTTTCCTTTTCACTGGGTTCTTCAGGTCCTGGAGTATCGTCTTTTGGAGCTTTACTAGGTTCTAAAGGCGCTTCAGTGCTTTCTTTTGGAGCTTCGCTAGATTCTATCGGCATTTCCGTTTCTTTTGGAGCATCACTAGATTCTACAGGCGTTTCGCTGGATTCTTTCGGAGCTTCACTGGATTCTACTGGCGTTGCAGTTTCCTCTTTTGGAGCTTCACTAGATTCCTTAGGTGTTTCCGTTTCTTTTGGAGATTCACTAGATTCTTTAGGGGCTTCAGTTCCTTCTTTAGGGATTTCGGTTTCTTCTTTAGGGGCTTCAGTTCCTTCTTTAGGGAATTCAGTTTCTTCTATAGGAGTTACAGTTTCTTCTTTAGGAGCTTCAGTTTCTTCCTTGGGAGCCATTTCCTCTTTTGGAGCCATAGTTTCCTCTTTTGGAGCCATAGTTTCCTCTTTAGGAGACTCAGTTTCCTCTTTAGGAGCCACAGTTTCCTCCTTAGGAGCCTCAGTTTCCATAGGAAGCTCACTTTCCTTAGGCTCTTCACTGGACTCTACAGGTGTTTCCACTTCCTCTTTCGGCGAAACACCTGATTCCTCAGTTGCCTTAGTTTCCTGAGTACTTTCCGTCGTGTCCACAGGACTGTCACCACCCACCTTGGTTGCATCTTCCTGAGGACTTGACGGCTTTGTTTCTTCTGTCACAATTTCTGGTACTTCCGTCCTGTCAATTTCGCTAGTTATACCCTTATCAGTGATTCCAAGTGTTATATCCGTCTCGTCTGTTTTTGAGGTATATGGAGGTAGATAAGTTGTAGGTACAAAAGTAGTTGGACCAAATTCATTGGTTTCCGTCACTTGACTATCGGTATGTCCTTCCGGACGTCCAGTTGGCCCGTAACCATCGCCAATTTCAACATGATTAATATTGTCATCCTTTTTGTTCTCTGGCCTTCGTGCTGGTAATGGAATTCCCGATGGACCTTGCGTTGGAAGAGTTGGCTTCTCTGAAGATGGTTCCGAAACCTCTGGTACTTCTGGTACTAATGGTTCTTCTGATTCCTTTTTGGGTTCTAAGCCTTCAGTCGATTTTTCAATTAGGGAACTTTCAGTCTGATCTGAGGTTTCTTCGATTGGTTTCTCCGATTCGACAGTTTGTCCTTCCGTTACACTTGTCAAGGTGGTTTGATCTTTTTCATCTTTGGAAATTTCTGGAAGTTTGCTATCCGTTGTTTCCCTCTGTATTTCCTCAGGTGAAGTTCCTTCCTGTGGGGATTCAGTTTTTGCCTCTGTGTCTATTCTATCATCAAGTTTCGGTGTTTCTTCCTTAATCGTCGAAACTGTTGTTCTAAATTCATGATCCTCAGGAATTGCATTATCAGCTCCGGGGAATTTGTCATCCTTTTCTTCAGTGACACTTTCTATCGTTGTTTCAGATCCAGGTTCGGTTTGGAAGTCATTTTCTAAAAAAAAAAAATGGAATTTAGTAAATCGTTATACTGAAAGGTAATAAGATACAAAATTGAATTCTTACCGCATTGATACGTGGTTGGGCAACATTCACCCTCGGGAGGTGGAAGAGCAGTGCAATTTTTTCCATGAGTCTTCATAGGCGTACCGCAGTCCTGAACGGCACATGCTATATCGCCACTGAAGCAGTAACAATGCGTGCATGGATGTGTCGAGGAAATGAAACTACCTTCGTCGTACAATTTTCCCTCGTGAGAACATTGTCGATTAGCAATGCCAGGTGCCATTGTTGTGGTCATCAGAAGACCAGGTGTTGGTCCAATTGTCGTTTCTGATATTTCGTCATAATCTGTGGATTAGATTTTTTTTGTCAAATCATTCTATTTACTATTGAAATGGAATGGAATTACAATCCTTACCGCAATTGTATTTAACTGGACAACAAATTCCGGGCTGGTAAATTGGCTTGCATCCAGCGACTCGAAGTGTACATTCCTGAATGACGCATGTGGTTTTGTTTCTTATGCAGTAGCAAAGTTCACAGGGATTACTATAGTCAATTGGAAGTTGCATACCGTCGGCGTAAAATCGATTATTAATGTTGCAACCATAATTGTCGGGGAAGCCAATTTCTGTACCTGAACCGGAAGGTGTGTCTGTTGTTGATGTTAGAAGTTGTACGGGTACTTCGGGACATGTTATCACTGGACAACATTGATCGGGACGTTTTTCGACTATACAATCCTGACCAATTGCCTTTGTAAAAGGACATACCCTCAGGTAACACATCAACATTCGATTGTGACATGTACAATTCAAACATGGTTCGTTTGTTATAATTCGATCGCCCTCCTGATAATGTTGAAAATTATAGTAACAACCTGTTGCACCTAAAAATTAAATTTATGTTAAAATAACGGATTTTTAGTATAAAAAAAAAATTTCTACATACCTCCATCGTACTCTGCTACTTGTGTGGTATCTTGATCGTATACTGGTGCTGTAACAAAAAACAGAATCGGGTTATTGTCTTGGTAACGGCAGCGCTAGTCAATACGAGTCATTGATTTTCACAAACCGCGGCGAATCTCAGTTTTTACTTCTAAAAAAAAAAAAAAATTAGTAAATAAAATTTCAAAAAAGGTAAAATAGTTTAGGATTAGATTTAATGGTGTTTTTTTAATGTACTCGTGAATTTGTGTGGAAGATAAATTGATGAGTGCAAAAGAAGCTTGGTGAATGTACCCTCAGGACAGGAGACGTTTATCATAGTAATTACTACCGGGATATGTTTGTTTGAAGGGTGGACCTGCTCCTGACTCAACAACGAAATGAGTCAAAGCGTCATATGGCACGAGCGTGTACATGGGCGAATTTCTCATTAACACTCTCTCACCCTAGTCGAACGAATTGTATGGCGAGAACATAGAATCCTCCCTTTTCTCATATATATATATATATATATGTGTGTGTGTATTCCCTATCTCTCTACCATTTTCAACAATATTTCCCCTAGATTGAAGTGTCGTGCACAGGAGTTTGCTTCAATTGTTCCCAAATGCACTAACTCTCATCAGCGACACGATTGTTGATCTTTCACGTCCCTACGCTAATATTTCCATCTTTTATAGAATTGATAGTAGTTTGTTTTTCTTAGATAAGAATCGTTTATTTTTAACTTTTAATTAGTTAATAAATATTTTATAATAACCGTTATTTGATATTTTATTAATTTTCATTTTTTTCTATTTTCAGGTATGTCCAGCAAAAAAATATTTACTGGTGAGAATCTGAGCTATATATACGAATGCAAAATTAAATTTGCAAAAAAATTTTACTGGTGTAAATCTGTTATATGAATACAATAGAGCAAAAAAAAATGCTGAGGTAAAAATCTAAACTACATAAATTTAGAATTGAAAAGTAGATTTTGAATTTGAAAATTGGACTAATTTTTCGTTTTTTACATGGGAATTTTTTATTTATATCGTGAATTGGGATTATTAGTGATTGGGAGAGGATATGGGATACTTATGGTTAGAATCAGCATTCCGTGGGAGGTGCAGACGGTTTTACAGCGAATTGAATTGTACGGAGAACAGCAGGCTCCGTGAATGGGGACCATCGTGACTCGTGTTCCATGACGGCTCTCGACCTGCATGCCTCCACGTTACGCAGTTTTGCACGTAATCGTACAAAGCGTTTTGCAACACCTTGATTTATCATAGTGTGTGTGTGTGTGTATACGCAATTTGCCGCGCGATAAAGACTATTAATAAATTCTCAGGCCTCGGATTGTTACCGGACAATTTTTTTTCGGACTTTTTTTAAATCTAAAATGAGACATTTTTGAACTTCTTTTCTAAAATAAGAAATTTTCAAAAAATTTCTTCATAAAATGAAACATTTTCTAAATTTTCTTTTTAAATTGAAACATTTTCCAATTTTTTTTTCTAAAATAAGACGTTTTCGATTTTTTTTTCTAAAATTTAACTCTTTTGGAATTACTTTTAATAAACGGTGAATTTTTCGATTTTTCTTTGCCAAAAATAAAATTGTGATTATTTATTAAATTATAAATAAAATACCTATGATTATATTTAGTATAAACTGAAAATCTTCCAAAATTCTATTTTGTAAATTTGAATCTAAAAAATCTTCGTGAAATTAATTATTTTTAATAATTTTAAAAAAATTCTTCGAAAATTCAATTATATAAAACATTTTTCAATTTAAAATTCTCTAAATTTCTAATTTTCAAAAAAACGATTTTTTTTAAATTAAAAATTCTCTAAATTTATAATTTTAAAAAAACGACTTTTACGCTTAAAATTGATCCGAGGTTTGAATTCTATTTCCTCTCTCTCTCTCTTTCTCTACAAAAAAAATAATTCGTATTATTCTATTTCCAATATACCGCTCTTTATATTCAACTCGGAAATTGATATAAGGAAAAGTCAATGAATCGGAATGAATTAAAAGTGAAGAATTATCGATTAAATTTGTTACCGTTACGCTAAAAATATTAATGAATTGAAAGTACAGTTTAGAAGTGAGAAATATTTTAAAGGCAAATGAGAAATTACTCTCCATTATTATTACTATTATCATCATCATTATTATTATTATATATTGATTGATTGATGTATATATTTATATTGATGTATATATAATAATTAATCTCGATCAATATGTATAATAATCAAATCAAGAGAGGCGAATACTCATGAAAAGAGTTTTGTTCTCGAGAAATAAAATTAGAATGCGTGTAAAAAAAGTGAATGTTCTTACAATATATATTATATTGATTTGAGATCAATATTCAATCGACAATAGAGTTAACGGGATTAATGAACTACATACAAATTGAAGATGAGCAAAATCATTTGTTTTGACATATATACGTAATTCAATCGGTTTTGATAAAACACATCCTCTTCCGTCCCAAATCCAACAATAGTGACAGTTAGATGATTGAATCAATTAGAGCAATATATATTGATTGCCTTTCTCATTGAAAATAATAAAATTCAAAAATAGTTCTTTAGAAAATTATAAAAAAAATTTCCACTAATAATCAGTTCTTTAAAGTTTTTTTGGGGTCATTCCGTAATAATTTTACACTTTTTTCCAAAATTCGTATTTTTCGCCCTTAAAGGGCGTCATTCATAGCACAGAACATTATTACCAAATTTCGTAAAAATACGCTAATTTATTTAGAAGTTATAACCTTTTTTTGGGGGTCATTCCATAATAATTTTATGGTAAAAATAATAATTTGAAAAAATTAAAATTCGGCTCAATGAAAATAAAATCTAATAAAATTCTAACGATTTTTAAAACTATTTCACACATCCCCTTTTTACCATTTTTAACCTTTAGTTTCTAAATTTAGAATAAAAATTCAAAACTAATATAAGGCAAAAAATTAGTATTTTACGATCGTTGGTATTATGCGAAAAAAATGAGTTTTAGTACCTTAGCATCTAGTTTAAATGTAAAGCATCTAAAAGAGAAAAAAATAAGGTAAAAAAATAGTGTTGCAGACGATATTTAGTTTCCGAAAGAATGGCAAAGAATATTATGTTTACTGTGAAAGTTAATGTACCCTCTCGCTCGTTTACCTCTGTTTCATTTTCACACTCTTTCTCTAAAAGTAAAATAAATAAAAAGAGAGCATGGGAAAAAGAGTGAGTGTGTGTGAGAGAGAGAGAAAAACAGCGAAAGAGAGAGAGAGGCGAGTATTGCGCGTAAAGAGAAAGAGAGTTCACCTGGTTGCTTTTATAATACGAGAGTGGAGAGCAGCAGCAGCGCAGAGAGCGTCGTTTCATGTTATGAAATCATCGCTGTCGACCTTGCCTCGCGAAAGTTCATTACCATTAACCGCATAGTCTGCTCGGTATAGTTACACTGTCTGCATGTAAATTCTTCTCATTTTTCAGGGTCACCGATGCGGTACAAAGGTCAAATTTTATCTCGAGTGGCAAATCAAATTAGAAAAGTAAATTAACGGGCTAAAAGAGTAGTTAAATCCGGAAAAAAGAAATAACGGTTTTTTTGAATCAAATCTAATGAGGGAAATAAAGTAACTGTTAAAATAACCACTATATAATCTAATATTGAAAAACGTAATTAACTATATATGCATTTGATAAAAAAAAAAAATCAAATTAGAAAAAAAAATTAACCGTCAACCGGGGCTATTAGAATAAGAAAATCGCAATTTTATTCTTTTAGGCTTAAAAATCAAATTTACGTTCCGAAAAAGTCGATTTTTTTATTTTAAGTAAATTAAATTAGTTTAATAAATATTTTACTTAAAATAACTTATATTACTGTTAGTTTTTGAGTTTATGTAGGTAGGGATAATTTAAATACCTAAAACTTATTTGAAAGATTAAAAAATTATTTAGGGAAAGAAAGCAAAGATACCCTTAATAGAATAAAAAAAATGGATCGTAACATTTTTATTAAAAAGAAAGAACAATGCGCACGCGTGAAATGAATCTAAATTCAGATATTATCAGAGAGATCAATGTCTCTGATATATAGGAACTGAGAGAAATGTGTAACGTTTTTTATATGTAAAATATTACGTTTTTTAAAATTTATAAATTTTTCATTTACTTGTAATTGTAATTTAATTTTTTATTAACAAACTTGAAAGAGTTCTTAAAATTATTTTTCTTATACTTTTTTTATTAATATTTATGATTAAAGATATCTTTCTATTCTATAAATACTATTAGGTTACGTTTGCAAATATATAGTATTTTATCTGAAATCGTTAAACCTCATATTATATATTCTGAATATTATACAGATTAATGTATCCTCTCACTTATTCTCGGTTACTAAATTCAAATATTCAATACGTCTGTCAGATATAAACTCTAATGTTACAGAAAATTATCCAGTGGTCAATATTTAGACATTACATGTCATATTTCATTAAAAAAAATTGTTGGCAACCCTGATAATAATGTTTTTTAACAAATTTTTTCATTTTTTTAATTGGAATTTGAGGTTTTCTTTTTATATGAATTTAAAAAAAAAATTTTAGCTACCGAATTTTTGCCAGAATTTTTATTTTACAGTCCTTTTCATTACATAACTTTTTTATTTAAAAAAATTTTAATTTCATTAAATTTTAATTTAATAAAATTCAAATTTTTAAATGACAGAAATTCCAATTAACCGAATTAAAAAATTTTTCGAATTTTTAACTGATAGAATTTTTAAGACGCCGAATTTTCATTTTGGCCGAAAATAATAAATGGCCGAACAAACAATGAACAGAAAGATTTTGGCGCAATTTTCAAAAACTAACTAATCACGATTTTTTTGATAATTTCTAATTGGTCAATTTTTGAAAATTGCGCCGAAATCTTTCTGTTGAATGTTTGTTTGGCCATTTGAAATTTCGGACAAAATGAAAATTCAGCGCCTTAAAAATTCGGACAAATTAAAATTCAGTGAATTGGAATTTCTGTTATTTTAAAAATTCGAATCACATAAAATTCGTTTGAATTCTGTTAAATTAAAATTCGCTTAAATTAAAAATCTTCTAAATAAAAAAGGCAAATAAAGAAAATTACTGTAAAATAAAAATTTTGTTTAACGAAAATTCTGAGCTAAATATTCTGTTATGCAAAAATTCGTATAAAAAGAAAATCTGCAAAATTACAATTCTAAAATTTAAAATTCGTGTAAAAAATATTACATTATTATTATTATTATTATTATTATTATTATTATTACTTATTTCTAATAAAAATTCTTTAAAATGAAATGATTTTTATGAGCCCCAATTCGAAAAAATGAAAATTCTGCGTTTTAAGAGTTCTTAGTGCATTAACATAACCTAAAAACTAAAAATTGTTTTTTACAACAAATTAAACTATAAATAAAATTAATTTTACCAAATTTTGTAAGATTTAGTTTTATAATTTTTAAAATAAATTGTTTCGCTTCAAAATTTGTTGTTAAATAATTTTCTAAGAGAAAAAGAAAATAAAAATTACAATTTTTACATAAATTTTAAGGAAAAACAAACAAAAAATGTTAAATAATTATTATTTGACAATAAATTTTGACTAAAAATATTTTTTTTTTTTTTTTGAAAATTGTACAACTAAATTTTTCAAAATTTGGTGTAATAAATTTTAACTTATATTTTTTGTTCTGGTGAAAAATCATTTTTTTAGCTTAAGATTATATTATGGGGCTAATTATACTTAGCCCCTTAACATAACCTTAAACTAAAAAAACGAAAAAATCTTTATCTGAAACAGCGATAAGTTTCACTAAAATAGCGAAAATTTTCGTTATTCAAATATATCCCTCTTACAGATAAAACAAATTTTTCGTGTATATCCTTAAGTTTTCGAGTATTCGAAAAAAATTGAAATTCGGATATAAATTACGAAATTCTGTTAAATTTTTCGAATTTTGAAGCAAAATTTAGAAATTTAAAATTTATGTTTCAAATAATTTAATAAAAATTCGTTAAAAAATAAAAATTCCAATCGACAATTTTAATGATCTACGCCCCTTAGAATCAATATTTTATGCAGTAACACAAAATGATAAATCACTATTCAATAAAAGGAATCAATTTGTCCATTGTAGGACAAGAAGGATAAAGAGGGAAAGAGGGGGGAGGGGGGTTTAAGAATGAGGATAAAGTTATTGAATAAGCCTCATATATATTATTTGCCGTCAATATAATATTATCGATGACCGTAGAATTAGCAAAAAGACATTTATTTACACGATACCTAGACTAATACGATTACTTAATACGTGTCACGCTGACGCTGCACCCACACGTTCCGTTATGTCTTTCGTTGGATGACCGCTGCTGACCTTTCCACCTTGGATTTGCTAGTTAGGGTTAAGAAGAAGAAGAATATAGAGAAGGATGAACAAGAACTAAAGTAGGACAAATAAGTGCAAAAAAGATGCAAGAAAAGGAGGTTGGGCCAAGAAGAGAATATCCTCTTTGAGAATATCTCTCTCTCTCTCTTTGACCCATCTTTGTCTTGTGCCGAGAGGGGAAAAAAAAAATATTGTGATTTTACGATAGGTTCAAGAAGTAATAGAATTGCCTCTATGAATATTATACAAGATCGGAAATTCATTCTTTCTAACGGTGAATTTTCATTTTATGGGCTTGGTTTGTAATTGACTAGGTAAAAAATTCATGCAGATATTAAGTTAAATATTTTCAAAATAGAATTTCTTTTTTTTGGCCTGACATGTCATTTCTTTGAAATCACTGTACAATGAACTGTATGGTTTGTTTTTTTTCCCCCTCTCAGAAAACCGGCTTTTCGTACGGAAGTCTATCGAAGTTGATAGATACTAGAAGAACAAGACCAAAAATGGGAGAAGAATTATTTCAAAGACAAATATGGAGTTCCTGAGAAGTGGAAAAAAAAAAATTCCCCAACCGGAATGCAATAGAAAAAAAAAAAAAATTTTTTTTTTATTATAATAATTCTCAGTTGTTCTATATTTGATAAGAGCGTGTCGATTCTTGAAAAGCGTGATGAAAGAAAAAAAAACAAAAAAACTCACCAGAATGCGAGGATCGTACTGTTAACAAAATGACCAGGTACAGGATGTTCCCGCGTCGGCAGAGCCTGGCCCACAGCGCCGACATGTCGGCAAACTTGAAATCTAAAACAAAAATATTTTCTTTTAAAAAAATTTTTATCGAAAATCAGGACGTGGGATCATATTGTATTTTTGTGCAAAAAAAAAAAAAAAAAAAAAATCTCGTGACACGAAGGCGGACTTTGATCAAGATACAATTTTTCCCAAGAAATCAAAGAGGCTAGTAATCATCTTGGACGGTTTACTATAATTCAGAGGTCAAGTGTCACGTAACACTTTGAGTCTTCGCGCCGCCAGCGATTAGTAACCCCGTATATTGCCAAGGCACTAACTCTACTATATATATATACAACTATGGAAATAGACAGCTGTTCCACCTTGAAATATATTTCATGTCATGGCATCTAGAATTCTAGTTCATTGTAATTTTTCTTGTCACCGAGTTTGGTATTTTTCTGAAAAGAAAAGAAAATTAGAATTAAAAAAAATCATTTTTTTGAAAAAAAGTACTACCCTAGTTTCGATATTAAACGATGATATAGAGAAACAAAAGGAATTTGTCTAGTTTTTGATGGCCGCATGTTAACCTAGAATAGTAGATAAATATCAGTTCCTAAGTATGGAATGTTGTTGATGGTATACACAATATATTTTATTGCAATCGTTTTTCTCCTTGAATTGTAAGGATTTATTGTGGTGCGAAGAAAATATACACGCACGCGACACCTAAGCGTCAAAGATTATGTATTGTTTTGCAGTCTTGTTAACATCGATGGCCATTTTATGTAGCACATCGTAAATTACAAGTCAGCCAATCATAATGAATATCCCCCGCGACGTTTTTCATCCATCAAAGTGAGATCTAAAATCATATATATATATATATATATACACACAGAGGGAGAGTACGTGTGCACGATAATATACACACACTCGGACCTTACGTCATTGCGTATTCACGATGCGACCCATTGAACAGGGGAATTCGGTGAATGAGCACCAACCTCTTGGTTCTCTCTCGCTCTCATTCTGTTTCTCTTTTTGTTCCCCTCTGGCTTCACCAAATGCTAATATGTATACTAAGCGAAGGCGACAAACGACACACCTGCTGCGCGCTCTGAATGAAAATCAACTCAACACTCTTTCTTCTCTCCCACTCTCTCTCTTTTTCAACCAAGTGCTCCACAATTCACCTCTCTTTACTTTCTATCTTGTTTCAGGACCGGCTTGTTTCACCGAACCGCGACTAATAATGCCGCACTTGTTCTCTTTGCGGGGGCTTCGATTTGGTTCGTTGCCCGAAACGAATTATTATGTCATCCCGGCGAAGAGTAGTGTATTTGAATGAAAAACGGTAATTGAAATGTTTTTAAAATGGCATACCAAACGGTATCTCAAAAGAAGTCTAAAATGTCTTCAAATAGTCTTTAAAAGATCTTCAAATAGTATTTAAAAGGTTTTCAAATAGTATTTAAAAGTTCTTCGAATTATCACCAAAAAGCTCTGTAAATTATTTCCAAATAATATTCCAAATTTGACATTAAATAGTTCTCTTAAAGTTCTGCAAAAAAATATCCAAATAATCTTTCAAATGGTTCCAAAAGGTCTCTGAATAGTCTCCGAATAGTCATCATAAAGGTCTCTAAATTATTTCCAAATTGTCATTAAAAAGGTCTCCAAAAGTTCTCCAAATGATCTTCCAAATGGTCTCCAAATAGTCTCCAAAAGATCTCCAAATGATCTTCCAAATGGTCTCCAAATAGTCTCCAAAAGATCTCCAAATGATCTTCCAAATGGTCTCCAAATTATTTCTAAATGGTCACCAGAAGTTCTCCAAATGATCTCCAAATAGTCACGAAAAGGTCTTTAAATAGTCTCCAAAAATTCTCCAAATGGTCACTAAAAAAGGTCTCCGAATTATTTCCAAATCATCATTTAAAAAGGTAACCAAAAGTTCTCCTAATAGTATCCAAAAGTTTTAAAAACAGGTCTCTAAATTATTTTCCAAATGGTCAGCAAAAGGTCTTTAAATAGTCTCCGAATGGTCACCATAAAGGTATTCAAATTATTTCCAAATAATGTTCCAAATGATCATCAAAAGATCTCCAAAAAGTCTCCAAAAATTTTCCCAAAAAGGTCTCTAAATAGTCTCCGAATGGTCACCATAAGGGTCGCCAAATTATTTTCAAATAATTTTCCTAATGGTTACCAAAAGGTCTCTAGAAAGTCTCAAAAATTTCACTAATAATGTCTCCAAATAGTCTCCAAATGGTCACTAAAAAGTCCGCAAAATTTTTTCCAAATGGTCGGTCATCGAAAGGTCTCCAAATAGTTTCCAAACAGGTCTCCGAATGATCTTCCAAATTGTCACCAAAAGGAGTTTAAAGGGTCTCCAAAAGTTCTCCGAATAGTCTCCAAATGATGACTAAAAATTTCTCCAAATAGTCACCAAATAGCTCTCCAAATGGTTCCCTAAAAGTCTCCGAATATTCATCAAATGGTCTTAAGAGTGTTACACATTTTTCAAACACTAGTCTGTATACAAAATTTCCAAAATTATAACCGAATTATACTTAATTCTAAAATTTCTCCAAAAATGTCTCCAAATGGTCTCCAAATGGTCACCAAAAAGTTATCTATAAATTATTTCCAAATGGTCACCAAGAAGGTCTTCCAAAGTTCTCCAAAAGGTGTCGAAATAGTCTTCAAATGATTACCAAAAAAGGTCTCCAAATGTTCACCAAATAGGTCTCCAAATGATACCCTAAAAGTCTCCGAATATTCATCAAATGGTCTTAAGAACGAGGAAAACCAAAACTGGTTAATCCAGACGAAATCGGAATTAATACCTTAACATTTGGTTCGAAATTGGATATCAATGCTAATTCCACAACCACATTTCATGACTAGTAGAATAATTATGGGAATTACAATTGTTGGTATTGGAGGCAACAGATTTAGAACTTAGGACAATAATTTCTATTTCTGCTAAAGTAAGAACCTAATAAGGGTTTTCCGTAAGGGTGAAAGTCGATAGACGTAATCAAACGATTTTCACCCTTACGAAAAAGGGATTTACTAGATTTTCTTTTAACTTTGGATATAGCAGAAATGGAAATTATTGTCCACATTACAATAATTGCCTCGTTTTTTAGTAAAATTTATTTCTAAAATCTCCTTATAGAATTACAATTTTTCATTAAATCACCCAAAATTCCCAATTTGTTTTCTATACTAATTCTTTAAAATTTTTAAGAAACTTAAACCGATTTTAGTTTTCGTCACATTTATATTCCTTCAGAACTCGTTCCACGTGGATATTAAAATTACCATTTTTTTCCCCCTACCGCGAAAAGTAAATATTTGCTAATTAATTTTTCAAAGACCTTCAATCTCCTATTACGTCGGCAGATGATTGAAAGACATAATCCATTAGAGTCATCGCTTATTGGCTATATTTATAAAGTGGGTTAAAGTATAGATTATTATTATTATTATTATTATAGATGTTGGCACGATGCTGCGATCGTTATTAACGTCTCTCTCTCTATTTCTCAATCGGTTTTTAAGGGAAGTCTTTCCGGGAGGTGGTTCCTTGTCATTCGTCTCTTATTCAAGAATAATAATTAGAGAGAAAGGCAATTTGACCGAGGCCAGGCAAAACTATATGACTCGACGCGCACTGAGAGTATATATATATATATATATATATATATATATATATAGCGAATATAAGAGGGTGCGCTGTGTGCACTGGTGCAGACGGTGCCGTTACAGCCCGGAGGCTGTATTCGTTCACCATTACCGTGGAACGCGGAATGTGATTACCTTCACCTGGGAACCGATGAGGATAGAAGAAAATCAACCGTGGGCGAAGAGTCGGGATCACGCCCTGGCCCGATTTTACTCATCTTCTTTATGTTCATTTAGCACACATATATAGAAGAATTTTTTTATTATGGCATTGATAAAATTTGAAGATTTTAGATAGAAAAAAAAAAAAAATTTACTACTGACACAGTATTGGAACAATACTGGTATTTGGTTTCTTACAATACTGTGCCCAGTAGTAAATTTTCGATGTAATTACCAGAACATTATGTACTCTTAAAAATTCTAACAATGTAAAAAGAAAATTACTAAAATAGTACCGATTATAGATATTAAAAGCAGAACCAAATTTAGTATATCTAAAGTCGATTTTGTAAATTAATACATTTCGTTTTACAGTGAATCTATAAGCTTAAAAATAAACAAATTGTAAAATTCTACTAAATCATCATTGGCAGAACCAAAGATGTATAGGGATCGTTTAATCTAGTACGTAACGGTTTTTGTCTCTTGTCGCCCTTTCCGGGAGAGTCTTGTATCGTCATTGCGTAAGAGGAAATCAACGGTTTGGTGTTGACATACCGTTTCATCTTCTTCGGGAGGAATGACCTATTCTTGAAAAAAAAGGGTAGAAAAAAAGTTCCTGTAATTGACTGTTCTTGAACACATCTATGACCCTATGTTTCCCTCCCTCTCTCTCTCTCACTCTGTCTCTGGTTTTTCTCCCTCCCACTCGCTGCGATAATCGCGCCTATCTTTCCAGTGCATTAGCTTGTACATCGCAAAATAAACAGAATAATGGATTACGAGGCCGAAAGATTCATAACCTTATAGTACCCAAGCGTATCTGATAGTGTATATACCACATGGAGTCACGTACGCAATTTGTATTTTAACTTATAAGCAGAAAGGCAACGGTACAAACAACCAGGACAATTGAATATATGTCTTAATCCACAGGAGGTTTTTGGTTTGGACCAACTTCTTCTCTCTCTCTCTCTCTCCTTGCTTTTAGATTATCTTTTGAAGATAGCTTTTATTGTCTTCTTTCTAACAATGTGTTGGAATGTCAATTCTATATCACACACACACAGATAATTTGTTCGCACATTGCACTGTGAGAACTCTTTTGCCAAGTTAATTATTATTTATATATATATAGCAAAAGAAGGTGGTATGGCCTCTCATCCTGTTTCCGCATGTTTTCCTTAAATGTAGCCTTTCAGGTCTAT